CTGCATCCCTCGGCCTGTGTCCCGACAGGGAAATGCACAATAATTTCCCAAGTCCTGAATCCCATGATAATCCGAATCCGGTAGAAACGACACCATCAGAAGAGGCAACTATCATAAATAAAGCGACCGGTGATCATTTGCATTGCATTGCATTCATGAATGTGTGTGCACGGTCCGGAAATAAGTACAACTGACCAAATTATTCAGCTTCTCCCGAATGAAGATTAAAATCTAAAGGGACATTTTTTTACTGTTAGGCAAGCATTTAATTAGATATATATATATATATAAATATAGCAAGCGCATAGATACACATACACACACACACACACACATACACATGCGTTATTGCGATCATGTCGACTGGTGTAGAGAAGCGAACGCACAAGTGCGTTTGCTTGTGCTACGAGGCTAAGGGCAGGACAACTGATTTAGCAGTCCTGATGACGCATCCCCCTGCTCATATACGTTTGCACACACATTTGAAAGACCGCATAGGTAGAATACTTCAAGCGTATCTGCACAAATACAAAAAAATAATGTCTGACACGGATCTGTCTATCTGTTGGTGTGTTTGTCTGTGAGTTTGTAGGTCTGTAGTCTGTCCGTAAGTAGGTTTGTCAGTATGTCTGCCAGCCAGTCTGCCTGCTTAATCGAATTATGGTGCGACAGTTCCGGAAGTAATTGGGTGGTGGTGACAAACGCAAAGATTCTGTCATGTTTCCACCGGGCATAAAAACTAGGCCTGGTTACGAGTTCATCATGGAGCACTTGGTTGCCTGCATGTGGGTACATGCTTGTGTGATTGTATTTGTGTGTGTGTGTGTGTGTGTGTGTGTATGTCAGCAGTTCAGGAAAGAAATAGGCGAGAACAGAATGGACCTTTACAGACGACCAAACTAGTCAATTTCCCATCACCTCGAAATGCAAGGCTAGCAACTTAAAACATATCTCCGTTATAAACGAGACGGGCTGTGTGTGCGAGAGCGAAATTTGAAGGGCGGGCGAATACGACATAGGAATATGAGTATGCACATATACGCATGCGTACACATTTACGAGGCGAGAGAGGTGGAATGGTGTTGAAGGTGTGGTGGCGACCAAGAGTAGGTGTGGTTGGGAGATAATGAATGAGGGTCTGCGACGCGGATTGCAAAATCACAAACTTTTTGGGGTCGCCGTGTCGAAAAACAATCTGTGCCGTGGGAGTTTTCTCTGAGCCGTCTAAGGTCAAAGGCTGTGTCCACAAAAGTTGACGGACTTCACTCATTTTGGTGTGGGACCCGTAAACTAAACCGGCATCCGGCTCGTTAGAAGTGCAGGCTCGCCCCGAGACTGTCGTCTGGCCTCGGCCACGCCGAGTGCGCCAGTCCCCCCGGCCGGTCTTGGTGGTGCCGTTGGGCCAGACAGTTCGACGGTCTGTGGGAGGCTGATCGTGTCGGGCTGAGGGCAGAGGAGCCGGGGGTCGTAGGGCCTGGCAAATCGACAGGGCGCCCAGAGCCCGTGGCACACAGGCGACAAGCGGGGCAGGCCCTTCGCCAAGCGGTGGAGGCAGATTAGTCACCCCAACCCGACCCCGAATGATCGGACTCCAGGGCTCCAGAAAACCCTCCTCTAACGCGGATCCAGTCAGGGTTCACTGCATCTGATAGACCTTTAGAGCTCTGAAGAAAAGTTGGGTTTCGAGGAGTCTCTTGTTTCACAATTATTGAGCTTACGTCCATTTTGAGTGGAAGTGTTGGGTGAAGAGATTCGAAGGTCAGTTCTACCAGAAGACGACGGGGATTCATCTTGACCAGCTGTCGATTGACTTCTCTGGAAGATTCATGCTGACGCTGTTTCCGAGGCAATCTCCTTCGATTCCGGTGCTAAGCTTTCGTCCGTCATACGACGGGCTCGTTAACTTGAACTTTGTTGTGACGATGTTAGTCATATGACGGACGAAAGCTTAGCACCTTCGCATCGGAATCGAAATGGATTTCCTCGGAAACAGCGTCAGCATGAATGTTCCAGTGAAGCCAATCGACAGTTGGTCAAGAGGAATACTCCGTCGTCTTCTGGTCGAACCGACCTTCGAATGTCTTCACCCAACACTTTTCCTCGAAATGGAAGTAAGCTCAACAATTACAGAATATAATCTCGACAATGTGATCACTACGCGATTCTATCACGAATGCTCTTGGGTAACAGGACAG